ATTCTTATTTGAAATAATTCTAGTCTTTATCAACACACACACACATGCAAAAAAAAACAACAGATAATAACTTAATACATGAAAAACTACAAATTTTACATGAAAAGGAAATTAGAAAAAAACCATTAAACTGATGTAACAAGATAATATTGAACCATGTATTTCTAAATGACAATGTTACAATAAGAATGGACTAAAACATCTGTTTGCAATTAATATTTTGGTATTTATAATTTAAGGTCTGTGAAAATAATATAACCTTTTAAAAAAACTGATAATATATAGTTATAGAAAATACTGTTCTTTGAAGCTGAAAAGTAAACATTTGTTTATATGGTTTAATCAATTTTTTTCATTGGAATGCTACATTCTTAAAAACCATCAATGTTACATTTTAAAACTCTCAAAGACAGTAAAATTTATGATTAAATATGCATAGATATAAAAGAATACATATATTGAGGTTTTAATGTTTATGTTATGTATATGTTTTATTTTCATATATTTTAGAACTTGTTGGAAAGTTTAATTATTTAAATAAAGGCTTCAGTAATGAATATTTTGAATACTATTTCCATTCATTGAAATACATCTACCGATGTAAGAAAACAATTTAAAACTTTCTGAATGCACTGATTTCATACTAGGATTTTCTTAGTCATAACTACATGCATAATTTACAAATAGTTTCATATTTAAATAATCTTGAAACGCATGAAGAACTAGTTACATAAACCTATATTACTGATACATATTAACATGAACATTGAATTTTATAAATGAATCTGAAGAAGATGAAGCCTTACAACTTATTGTTCATTTTGCAAAATCCTTTTTCCATGTACACGTACTTGCTAAATCTAAAATAGCAACTTTCTCTATATAAAATCTTTGCAAGTATATTAAATTCAAAACTGTCAAAAGTTCCATATATTCTTTGCACTAGTATGTTACAATGCAATAAAACATGATTAACTTATAACTGTTTTGTTCTATAGTACAACAGTTTTCAAAGAAATTTCTAAAATGACATTCTTATACAACGTGCAATTTCTTTACAATTAAAAGAAAAGCCCAAGGTTTTTTGTAACTCACACAAAAAATGGCAAGTCACACAATTCAAGGTTTCAAACATATTTTTGTTTCATAAAATGAGAACAACAGATGTACTTTTTATAGTAACATATTAATTTAAACATGTTTAAAGCCCTGATGGGTCAAATTTATACATATATATTCACATGGTGTACACACAGGTGGGACAAATGAAATGTCTGCCTCAGGGATCTACCTCACAAAAAGTATACTTATGTCCTCTATCTCGCATCCGATGACACCCAGTCTCAATTAATATAGGCCATATGTAAGGATATAAAATTAACACTTCTGGAATCCAGGGGGCCAGTCTGACACTCAGTTACACTTATGAATAGAACTGGTATGGCAATTATGGAGACCCCTAAAAATCAACAGCTCCAATACTATTACATAAAACAAACAGAAACATGGTTTATTTCATGTATGTTTTAATTTAGTGTATTCTTTTACTCACATGACATTAGTTGGATGAGCTGTACGTGAATGGCCAATGAATATTAGATTGACTAGACTGCCCCATTAATTGATTAGTACAGTGTTCCTAAATCATGGTAGTTACGAACAAAAAAGTTGGCAGCAGGTGCTGCCAGCCAGTTGTCTTCCCTCTAGTCAGCAGTTCAAAATTATTGACAGCGGCAGATAGTTTTAGTAGTTTTGCCATAGCAAAGACAGAAAAAACAAGTTTGGTGGCAATGGCAATTGAACCCAAGGCTCTCAAATATCTGTATCCCCCACAAGTTACCAAAGCTGAACAAGGTTGAGATGAAGAAAAAACATTTAAGGCTAATATTAGGCATATCACAGGTAGCCTATTTTGTAACTTTAAGCTTAACAACAAAAAACATAACAGCAACATTTTGATTACTTCAACAGTTAACTTAATCTAAAACAGTAATTTTTAGAAACCCTAATTCTGAATAGACGACTATTTTCATAACAATCAATTTAATCAAACTTTGATTGGCTGTCTGAATAATTGAAAACCCTAATAATCTAAAACACTTATTTTGATTGATTTAACAAGTTTTCATGATCTTAATCAATGTAATCACTGCTTATACATAATTATTAAATCACTTAGGTCTATTGTAACTTGCATTTGCATGTGTCTATATACATGTCTGACTTCTATTTAGTCTCAATGATCTCACAATTTTGTGATGACCAGATGTGAAACTGTAACAAGGTATACAAGAATCTCTACAGTTTCATAATTCGCAAACATCTATGATATCAAAACCATTTCAACATTTCCCAAATTAATGTCAGCTTGATGGTTAAAGACACAATTTACAATGATGAAACTCTCTGCATTAGAATTAAAAACAATACTGATGATTTGATTGAACAGCCCATATCATCATTTATCATAAAACTAAAACTGTGTGTAACCACAAATAAGAATAAATTTCACGGAACATTTAAGGGTATGTCTTTACTATTTGCTTCAGAATGAAGTACAGATAAAAGCACTAAATAATAATAATGCTATTATGATCCCAATCAAAGAACTTTGTGGAAGGATATAAGATGGGAAATTATATAGATGTGCAATTAGATAAGGTACAACCTTACATGGGTTAAAACAAGTTGATAACTAAGACAATGTAGTTATAACAGTGAATTAAAATAAAACATCATAATATACATTCTAAGATCTTTGTTTTATTTCACAATTTTATAACCACATTTTATCATTTTTCTCTCTCTTATTTATGGATTTAAAAAATGACATTTTATTAGACTATAAAAAGTTATCAAAATAAAGAAAAGCAAATTTAAACAAGAATAGTCATGCTATTTCATATTCAGCCAAATATCCATTACTTTTTTTTGCACAAATATAAAATCATACCAGAGATGTGCACAACAGGAAGTTCATCAGGAATTTAGCTGCTTCAATAAACTTGCAGAAAATTGACATGAAGAACAAAAATTCCCTGTTGTATGTAGTAGAGTGCAAAGCTCATGTTAATGTTCAACAGACCAGCAAATTGCATAATTTCTTTTATAAAAATAACAAAAAATTGGGGGGGGGGACTGGATTTCCTAAAACAAATTCTATATTCATCCTGCATTGCACATTAACATTAATTTTTTTAAATGAATTTTTAACCCAACTTTTTTTTTAAGTTTACAATAATGATCAAAATGAGAGAATCTTATCACTGTAGTCAATATTGTTGTTAATCCATGTGAACAGAAGTTTTTAATTTGCCTTTTTAAAATTGAATAATGGCAAGACTTAGACATAACTTATGCCGATACAACACTGACTTAGTGTTTAAAGATTTGTCCGCTTTATAACAGTACTAAATGCAAATTGTATCAAACGAAATCATAAAACAGTTGTATTAAAATTCATAAGCAAGATGAAATATTTCACTATAATTGCTTAATTTTGGTAAAAATTAAGTAATAAAATTACAAACTAATGAGTATTGGTTTACGGGCCGTATTAATGCCAGTAGTTCTGACCAGTGTGTTCAAATCAAAATTGGTTCCAGAATTGCAGTGACACTTGTCTAATCACCTGTGTCAGATGATGAATGGCACTAGTTACAAATTATTTTTCATTGGAGAGAGAAATATAAACTAAAACACCCAGTCATATATGATACTTTGTGTATAAAAATGTTGATTATTCTAAGAATATTTTGAAATCACTACATATTTATATTGCATGTGAACAGTAACACTTGTTATACATCACAGTACTGAATAAAAAATATGCCCAATCACTTTCCCCAATATGTTAAATATAAGTAATTGAAAATTTAGATGCATAAAATTTTTCATTATTACTAAATGAAAAATGAACTAACTTTCTTGTGCTGTATCATGCTTACTACCACTAGTAACCAAAGAATTAATATAAAATTGTATAACAAGGTTTTGAATACTTCACACAGAACAGAATGTGTTTGAATAGCATTTATATTCCTCCAATAGTCGTCCTACACTTACTTTAGTAAATGCATTTATTTTAAAATGAGTAAATACTTGCACATTATTAGTTTTTATTGAAAAAATGAAACTTTTTAATTCAACTTGAAGTTATTTAAGTTGGTGGATAAGAAATCTGTATTTCATCAAATCAAAACTGATGAATTACAGTCACAATAGTGAAAGAGAACCTATTTTGTTAAGAAATAAATGAGATCTACTATTCTACCAACCATTATTGTAATATTTTATACATTCGTTTGCTGAGGAAAAACCACACATCAATAAAAAATAGTATATACAAAGGTTTTTTCTTATTACAGGAAAAATTATCAAATGAAATAAAATCCCAATACAGTAGGAAAACTCTATTAAGATAATTTCCTTGAGGATTCTTGATTTTTAAGATATATAAATAATATTAATAAAGAACAAGTATCCTAAAAAACATACCCTGAAGATAAGCCTCATTGAATACTCAAAACTAACATTATCATAAGAGCTGAATACACTACTAACAGCAAGGATATCCAACTAACGATCTAAGGCAGAGTGGTCACAGGGGCTTTTTGTAGTTTGCCTGTTGCTCATTTTTTAAGACTAATTACGATTAATTGTATCTTTATCAAAGAATTTTAGCAATTCTTCTGGTAGAAGTTATTAAATACCAAGTTGTGGTTTATGACTGAAACAAACTGGAGTTTAAGTGTAAGATTTCGGGATACGACGTAAAGTACATGCATTGAACAAATATTTAATCTTTGTATCTACAGTAAGAAAATAAAGTTAAATATGATATGCTTAGAAATAAAAAATTACGGGGGCAAGACTATCAAAGATGTCTAATCAATATGTGGTAGCTAATGTTTTCGAAATTTAGAGCCTTGGATTTTTCAAAATTGTAAGTATACAAACTCAAAGAATTACCTGATATCTGTCAATTCTGAGATTTAGTTACAATATCTTTTTCTATTTACTGTTACACATGCACATTATGAGCATGTGAAGGTAACAAGCACTTAAAACCAGTTTTGAATCATTTATATCACAGATCTCTGTCAAACTTTCAATCTTCTTCTTCAAAGAAATCTTTTCCTTTTAAGCTGTCCTCATCAATTCCACTCTCATCAAGGAATTCTTCTGCTTCCATATTGTCAAACTCATTTTTTATACATTCTAATAACACAATTCGGGGAAGCGAAATTTGTTCAGGATTTATCCAAGGTTTGTAGTTAGGATTGTTCTTCTGTTTCCAAGAAGTGTATCCTACACTAGCTTTTTGCAGCTTCTTTACTAGCTGAATGAAAAAAAAAAAAAAAAAAAAA